TCTTCGATATTTTGACATAAAAAATATAGCATTTCATTAAAAAAAGAAAAAATTGACCTTCAAATCTCAGAAACTCCTCCACTTACAAAGAAAAATATATTAATACATTCAATTTCTAGTTTAACGAAATAGAATATTCAGTACCATATTACACGCCGGTACGACCTTTTGTCTTGAGTATACCTGCGGTTAGCTCAACGAGCACTGACCCACCTCTTCTTTCTTAAGTTTACACTAGTCTTACTATCGACTAAACTTAACTAACTAAACTAAATGCAAGGTAAAGCGACAAATGAAACCAAGATGTCATCAGCCCCACGAAGGGACTGATGAAACCGAGGTCCATCGATCTCCCTATCCTGCCGCAGTGGATGTACGAAAGAGATAAATGGAATCAAAGTTCCATCGATCACCCCGTTTAGCTGTATACCAAGCAATTATTGGAAACAAAAGGAGCGTATACTCTCAGAAAGAGACAACGTTTCAGAGACATGCCACTCTCAGAATGAGAGAACGTTTCAGGGAGACGACACTCTCAAAAGGAGAGCATCAATTTTTTCTAATGCAATTACGAAAATGACAACATTTTGTGATAATTCCGATGGAATATCTCCATCCATGGGGCAAGCGCAGGAAATGCAGGGTGGTAATGCATTTATTAAAATAGTCGAAATGTATATGAATTCTTGAAATTTGTTAAAGTTTGTAGTTTCACGTATTGTTACATTTACAAAGGCTTTTCATCTTATACATATTTAGCCTTAACATATTCTAAAGGGATGTTCGCGGAATAATACAGCCCGATTCTCCTGTAACTTTCCTGAATTATTTATGGTATCCACTTAAGACTTTAACCCGTTTTTGGTTGTTGCTATTTTTATATGTTAAAGGGAAAGCCACCCTTTTTGTCAGAAATGTCCTACTTACTCATTCGCTTGTAACGCGTAATCTACAAAAGATATCGTTCAAATGATTAGATGAATTTCATGTCGCTTTTAGTTGTCCACATGTCGACGGGAAAACATTTTCAAAAGAAAACCATTTTTTTCTTAATTTCATTGGCACCTTTTTCAGAAATTTGTACTTAGGTTCACAAAATAAAGTTACACATTTTCAATAATTATTTACATATTTATTGAACACTAAAACTAAGAATAGGAAGATTCAAACATAATTCTTAAAAATAAAAAATATGCGAAAAGAAGTTGCAAATTGATTAAAAGCAATAAGAGTATATTATGTACAGACACCTATAGTTAAAATTTATATAAGCTTCAATTTGCTGTTTTCTTCTACAAAAATATTTTTCGCATTCTTATAGCGTTTGTAATTGAAGAAAGTACTCGTTAGTACATAGATGTAGAACCTATTATTTATATATTCAATAACAAGTGTTCAAGCAATTTTTTACTTGTTGGCACCTGTGTGACACATAGTAGTATGCTTTAATAGACAACATAATAATTATGCTATAATTATTTCAGGCAAACACTTACCCCTACCCAGGAGATTGTCGAAAATACTGGAGATGCGACAACATATTAGGATGTATTCTCATAATCTGTGACATAGGATACGAATATAATCCAGCTCTCCTACAATGTGTAATTAAGGCGGATCTCATTCCGGGCTGTGTGCGTCTTTAAGATGGGCAACGAAATGCGTTAATTGTATGGGAACTGATTCATAGTGAACGGACATCGCAAATCTTTGAAGAAGAGGTTTACAATGAAAATAAATGAAAAAATGTATCGAAAATATGTTCTCCCTGCAATCATTATTGACGAAATGGAGTAATAAATAAAATTTACAACATACTTAAGAGATCTGTGTTTTGCTTATTATTACGATAACCTATAACTAGAAGATAATTTGCAAGTATTATTGCTCGTTTATTGAACAATTCCTGGAATTCTGGCCCTCTATAACCCCGAAGGGTGCAATAAACGACCGCCTACGATATGACGTATATCTAACCTCTATGCAACAACAATATTTCGTTTGCTCCTCGTTAATAAGTTGTTATTGAGATTATTATAACTATTGATTATTATAAAACAAATCAAGAGCAATTTTTTGGTGCCATAATATTTGTATAAAGAGGCCATTTACTACCTATTTTGTAAACAACGAGTTTTTGCTTTTTCTTTTGCGAATATCTCATTAACTATAAACGGTGCTGTGGGAGCAATTTCAGATTCGGAAGGAGGAAATTCGGAGCAATTTTTTGAGATATAAATTGTTAAGATACGTTAACATTCGGCGCCAACTTTTTTCCGGTTTTGAAAACGGTGAATCTGCGGTGGGTGGTAACACTAAAATGAAACTGGGGCGACGTCGCCCCAGAAAATGGAGCTGAAAAAATACATTGGATGAAATGTCTAATCCTATACCTCGTCTGTGGTAGAAACTAAATATATGAGTATCGCAATATCTGGAAATATCCAAAAACGACATTAATTTCCTCTATCCCAATGTTTAGGTTCAGATTATTGCACGAATAAAATGAATGCGCATCAAAGAAACTAATTAATCACAGAAAGTATGGCATCGAAACTGGTGATGAGACCAACCATTGAGTATAACGTCACAAGAGATAGCTCCCATTGTGGTTAATGACTTTTCATTTAAAAGTATTAGACGATCAAAGTAAAAAAAACTATTTATTTTGATTATTATAAAATGAGATCTAATGGCAAAAACCATATAAGTAATGTATTAAACATTTGCAATTCAATAAAATTCGATTCGAAATTACCTGAAACACTATTAGCGAATACTAAACTTATGAATGCAAATAAATTATAAAATAAAGCTTTATTTCAGTCACTAAAATAAGTTACACCGTCTTGATATTACGGAAGAGTAATTATTTACTTACTACTTAAAAATATAGTTAACGTCATTTTCCGTAAACAGCTACTTTATTAAACAGACATATTTGTAAACTTAAGGGATAGAACAACAGAATACACGAATAAATTTCTTTGATTTAATACATTCTGATAATAATTATATAATACTAAATTTGTTATTAATATCAGAAAAAATTATGTCGATCACATATTAAAATGCATTTTAGTTTTCCTCTTACGGAACAAACATTGGTAGAACATGATTCTTTTTTTTATTTTCATATTTCTGACGCACATATTGTATATGAGCACTTAAAGGAAAAGGTTGGTAATATGTTATCTTGCATAATAGGAACTGTTAGGATCACGACACTTGTTTTGGTCGAGATCGCGGGTATTTGCACTGAGGTGCCGTCTTAGTAAAACTCGAAGGACCACCCAATGTTGGGACTAATAACTGAACTATATTTATTAACGGTATTTACAGAAAGAGCCTGAATGCTCTTAAATAAATACAACAATGAACCTAACTGTTCACTTCGATCTCCAACCTGATTGTTGGATAGTTCTAAGATTCTATCATTAGGTGCGACTGTCCTGAGTGACTGTTCGCTTGGCTCTGTGCGACTGTCCTGAGTGACTGTTCGCTTGACTCTGTCCTGACTAACTGGCCCAACAAACTGTCCTAAAAAAAGCTTGCTGGGCCCGTGCATCCCCTCCATGCGCCCTTGGCGCGATACTTTAAAGGAGGAGGTTGTCGCAACCCTCTGACAATGGGGGTGGACGGCAGTTCGGCAACATCGCGGATTTTCCCGTCGGTTCCACTTTCCTCACGCGGTTCCGAGAAACCGTTAAGTCCCCGCGCAAAGGTACCGTCCCGAAGTCTGGGTTTTATGGAACGTCGATGGTCATGGGGACCCTTCCAAGGTGGGTCTCCTGCACATTTGGTTGCCAAATGTCAGGAACACGTTTCCTTCCGAGGGTTTCCAATCAATTTTAAGAATCCCTGACCGTGCCATAAACCTGCGTTAGCGACGAGCGCTAACATGCCGCCCACCTTGAACACGCACTGGGTGTTTAATTATCTAAATCCATTCATTCTATGTAACCTAATATGTATTCTAACCTAATGTCGAAAGAACAACGGAATTATTACTGAATCTATGAACTATATCGTTATGCGAGTTCTAGACAAGTTATAACTTCTCCATATTAAACATATATGCTTTGAATTTGCGTAAAACACCCTAAATTATAAACCTAGATAACTTATTTGTACTATAATGTTGCTTATCCTAATATTTACAAAGTGGATGTAATGTACAATATAATAACCCGAAAGATTCAAGTCCATAAATTAGATTATACTATCGCACTGATTAACTAAATGTTTATAAACTAGGGAATCTATTTACAATAATATTACTGATTATATAGTAAGTTCGTCGCATATTCTAAGTTGTTAAATTGTTATCTTCTATGGGTAATATACAAAGTTTGGTTAAGGGCCTTTTATACTCTCCATCGATGGTTTTGATGGATACAACACGTACTACCCCATCTTTTCCTGGATGTAGTTGCGTGATTCTCCCAAGACACCACCGTAGTGGAGGTAAATTGCATTCCTTGAGTATAACCAAAGTCCCTTCCATTATCCTCTGAGGCGATGTGATATGCCATTTATTCCGCTGTTGTAGTTGGTGGATGTACTCTCGATGCCACCGTTGCCAAAAGTGTTGGAACATCTGTTGGATTAACTGATATCTGCCTAATCGATTAGTAGGTACATCTTTGAGATCATGATCCGGTAACGCGTTAGGTGCATTGCCAATTAGAAAATGTCCGGGAGTTAACGGATTGAAGTCAGTAGGATCTGAAGAGATGGGACTGAGAGGGCGGGAATTTAAGCATGCTTCTATCTGTGTTAGTAGCGTGTAGAGTTCTTCGAATGTCAATTTTTGTTCACCAATGACTCGTTTTAGGTGAAATTTAGCAGATTTCACCGCACTTTCCCAAAGCCCTCCGAAATTTGGTGCTTGGGGAGGAATGAATTTACAATCTATTTGCTCCTTGTTCAAGAAAGAATTTACTTCACTATTATATGTACTCCCAGTAATAAAACTCTTTAATTCCTTTAATTGACGGTTTGCCCCCACAAAATTTGTAGCGTTATCTGAGAAGATGCGTTGACATTTACCTCTCCGTGCTATAAAGCGCCTAAAACAATTCAGGAATGCCTCTGTACTTAAGTCTGTAGCTAGTTCTATGTGAATTGCCTTTGTTACAAAACATACGAAAATACAAATGTACGCCTTCGTAGAGATCTTAGTCCGAACACGTTCTTTGGTCATAAATGGGCCTGCGTAGTCTACTCCGCAGGTACTGAATGGACGAGCAGGTGTCACTCGAACGGCAGGTAGTTGACCCATCAGATAAATGGCCGATTGAGGTTTTACTTTAAAACACCTTACACAGTTTTTAATTACTCGTTTCACATTCCGTTTGCATGCCAAAGGCCAATACCGTTCCCGCAAAGACGCTACTACATGCTGACATCCTGCGTGTAACAATCTAATATGCTCATGTCGAATTAGAAGATCTATGAATGGATGCTTTGCCGGTAATATGACTGGGTGTTTTTGATCATATTCGAGGGTAGCGTACTGGAGTCTGCCGCCCACCCTCATTAATCCCTTTTCATCTAGAAATGGACAGAGTGTAATGACTGGACTATTTTTTGATAGTAACTGTTTATTTCTTAGTGCAGTCAGCTCACCGGAAAATACCTCGGCTTGTACAAGACGCAGCAATGCATTTTCGGCTCGCTGAATTTCACTAACTGTTAAGTTGACCCCTGTGTGATACACACTGTCATGTGACGTTATTTTTTTAGCCTGACAATTTGAAACAAACTTGAAACAATATGCAACCACCTGTACTAAACGAATATAACTCGAAAATCGCTCAAAAATGGAATAGTCGTGAAGTGTGCTTATCGTTAATGTAGTAATAATTTTTCTTTCTTCTGGAATCTCTGTAATGGATATGTCTGAAGATGGCCAAATATCTGAATTTTCATTAAGCCAATAAGGACCTGACCACCAAAGGTTATTGTCCTTCAGGGACATCGGGTTGATGCCACGAGAGATTATGTCTGCTGGATTGTCTTTTGAGGATACATGGCGCCAGTTATCGATCTTACTTAAATGTTGTATCTGTGAAACCCTATTGGCAACAAAGGTGTTCCACCTGCTCGATACACTTGCTATCCATGCAAGCGTAATACTGGAATCTGACCAGTAGTATTCTCTTTCAACAGGAAGATTAAGCGCTGATTGAACTTTGTGTACTAATTGGGCTAATAAAAGTGCTCCGCACAGTTCTAATCGTGGAAGCGTTACAGACTTGAGCGGCGCGATGCGGTACTTCGAGCACAAAAGCCGAGCCTCCCATTTACCTGACTTTGTTGGTGACCGTAAATAGACGCACGCCCCGTACGCCTTTTCTGAGGCATCTG